TAAGATGGGACATTTCTGACCTTGACCCATCCAGTCTGTCTCAAAGCCCACCTGTTGCTGGTTGCACTGCTCCCTATGTCCACCCCTAGGGACTCTGCTCTACCACAGGGCTGTGCCTTCATATCTCCAGTAGACAACTCTTGATCTCTTTAGCCTGTGGTCTGTTTCAGACCCTCAGACCATCGGCCCAGTTCCGGGCTCCTAAGCACTTCAGCAGCCTGGCGCTGGCCTGCTTTTCCAACACTACTGTCCCCTCATCTCTACATGTTGTAGAACTACCATGGCAAGGGAGTGTCCCTTGGCTGGAGTACACCAAAGTTTCCCACATCCAAGCATGGGCACAGACTGTACTATGACCAGGGAATGCCACCTTCTCAACCTCAGTCTTCATGGACACACCAGTAAAGACTTTCTCTACCTCTCTTTCAAGTCCTGTCCTCTGAAAAGCCCAAACTGTACCAGTGGTGCCATCAGTACTCACCTGTGCCATGGTCTACAATTCTTCTTTTTTAATTTAAGTTAGAAACAAGCTTGTTTCACATGTCAATCCCAGATCCCTCTTCCTCCCCTCTTCCCCTGCCCTCCCCACCAGGCCCCCCAGTCTCCTACCCAACCTCCAATCCAATCCCCAGGGAGGGTGAGGCCGTCCATGGTGGATCTCCAGAGTCTGTCATTTCATCCAGGGCAGGGCCTAGGCCCTCCCCCAAGAGTCCAGGCTGAGAGAGCATCCCTCATTGTGGCATGGGCACTCAAAGTCTGTTTGTACGCCAGGGATAAATACTACCCAAGGCCCCATAGATTACCTAGGCTCCTCACATTCAAGGGGTCTGTGTCAGTCCCATGCTTTTCACACAGCCATCAATCTGGGGTCCAAGAGCTCCCCCTTGTTCAGGTCAACTGTTTCTGTGGGTTAAACCAGCCCAGTCTTAACTCCTTTGCTCATCAGTTCTCCCTTTCTGTCACTGGATTCCAGGAGTTCAGTTCAGTGTTTAGCTGTGGGTGTCTGCCTCTGCATGGTCTAAAATTCTTGTTATTTTCTTACTAAGCTAAAATCTTCTGCGGTAGAAACTTGATCATAGAAACTGCAAAACCTTCCACGCCTGGCAAACATCCAGTGCTAGCTGGGGGGTGGTCTAGGAAAACATGTGGTGCTCAAGTTATAGGTGCAATACGCAAGTCTCGTTTGAACTGTGTGTATCTGCCGTTCCTCCTCCACATCCTCACCCCCCCACTGTCCATCCCACCAAGGGGCTGGTGCTCTGTTGTGGTCATGGCTCCCAACAACACACAATGCTCTCAACAGCACGTAGTGATGACCAGGTTTTGAGCAGGCTGAGGGTAGAGGTGGGACTGGACGATTCTTTAATTTTTCCCTCTCGCCAGCATTCTGGGGACCAGCCTGGACATACCCCATAGCCATCTCTCCCCAAGGTCCACAGCAGGGTGCATGAGTGTGTGGGATGCGCGTGTATGCCCTGAGTACAGCACTCTGCCTGCTCCCGGTGGGCACTTGGACTGCTAGAGACTTCTGTCCCCTTTCTAAGGTCTCAGCCCCCATCAGTTTCTCTAATTCATTCTCCATGCTGCAGCCAGAGGGATTTATTTAAAATGCAAATTCGTCCCTGGAGTGCCTCTTTTTCTGTGTGCTTAGATTAAGATGTAAACCCCAGCCCCAGTCAGCCGCCTTCCCTTCACAGCCTCAACTGGGTCCCCAAGCATCGAATGATCAGCCAGTCCCCTTTACACAGGGTCCACAGCCCATCACAGTCTCTGAGGGTAGCCTTACCTCAACCACACATGATTCCCAACACCTCTCCTGTGGCCCCTTCACCCTGGGGGCAGGCACCTCTAGTCTAGTTGGAAGTGCAGGGTTGACAATCTCTGACAATGACAATCAACTGCTATCATTCTACAAGGTCAGAGGTGAGACTTGGAGCAGGACAGGCCCTTCCCGGGGGAGGCAGGACACAGCCATGGACTGAATCCAGCAGCTTCCTTCCAGGTTTAGACTCCCAGTCACATCCTGAGGGGTGCCATCTTACACCCTCTGTCCCTCAGCCTATCTGCAAAACAGCAGTGGGGTCTCCAGATGTCGGGCAAATGTTCATTTCCCTCTTGGCATTGATTGGGAACCTTTTACATGGTTAACACTGCCCATAGACACAGACACACCTGGCCAAGGCAACTAGCCCAGTGTCTAGGAAGTATGTCAGGTGTTAGCAGGTTCAAGAGCATTTGGGCTGAAGTTCAGTCAACAGCTTATAAAACTAAGGACTATAGTCTCTTAAGTACCAGTCAGGTGGGGCCAAGGGATGGTTCAGTGGGCAAAGCGCTTGTCATGCAAGCCTGAGGACCCGAGTTCAAGCTGCAGAACCCACACACAGTGGCACACATCAGTAATGCTCGTACCCCTAGATGGGAGACAGAGGCAGGGGAGCTGTCAGCCAGCCTGGAGTACACAGCGCGGTGGCAGAAACAAAAGACACCCCGCTTCAAGACGAGGCAAACAAGGAGAACTGGCTCCTGAAAAGTTGCCTCTGACCTCCATACTTGCAAACGGCATACATGTACTGTGTGCGTGTGCATGTGCACACACAAATCTTTAATTCTAACTAGAAATTAAAGACTGAGTCACTTGAGTCCTATCTCTGGCTTGGGAGATATAACTGTGACTTCCTGAACTGCTTGGAAGGCCATTAATTGGAAACGTTCTAAATCTTACAAGATCACTAGCAGGAGGTCAGGGAAAGGGCTCAGAGGGAAAAGGTTCTTGCTGCCAAGCCTTATGACCCGGGTTTCATCCCTTAGCCCCACATGAGAGAAGGAGAGAACTGACTTGCCACGGTTGTCTTCTGACCTCTACCTGTGTGCTATGGCAAGAATGAACTTAAACAAACAAATAAATAAACTCAGTACGGCTTTTTAGAAAAAGAATCCTGCCCAGCATGAGGCTTTCTGATAAAGAACAAAAGGATAGCATTGCCCCTTTTTGATAAGAGTATATTTACGTTGTCTTATCAATCACCTGAGCAAGAACATGCCCCTCAAGTAAGTTGCCTGTTCTGGAGGCTTTAGAAACATTTAAAGCCCACATAAGATGCAGGGTCTACCAATAGTCTCTGTGGCCACCATCCACTCCCACCTGAATGTCCTGCTCTGCAGCGGTCCTGAGGCCACCATCCACCCTGAGTGTCCTGCTCTGCAGCGGTCCTGAGGCCACCATCCACCCTGAGTGTACTCTCCTCTATCCTGCACTAAACTCTATCTGTTCTCTGTAATACTCTGTCTCACTTGAATTCTTTTGATGGAGACAGCAAGGACTGGGTAGCTGAGGTGAGTCTGGAACAAGTTCTCGGTGTTGCTTGAGAGACAAGAACAGGGCAGATGGTAACTGCTTGCTCAGGGGCAGTGCAGTCCACGGCAGAAGGAAAGATAAGGCTGCAGAGAGGGCCAGTGGAATGGCATTTGGTGCAGACCTTCTGAAAAGGGAACTAGCCCTTCATTAATCAGTGTAACTGATCATGTGAGTTGTTTTCAAGTATTCACAAGTATACACTCACAGTACTGCCAGGGACCCACGACCCAACCACTCAGTGCTGGCAATATTTATCATGTGTTCACAGATGTGCCATTAAACATGGTGTGGCTGGGAGGCAGGAGATGTGAGATCCAGGTCTGGCTTCATTAGACATATGGCCTTAGGCTCTCATCAGGCCACAGCCCCTCAGCTCGGCTGGGACTTGCATAGAAGTTGTTGAGCCCTTGGCTTTTCCCAGGAAAGAGGCACCAAGCTGCTGAGGGGAAACCTGGGCAATTGCTCCTGTGTTCACCCACCCAGTGCTTAGAAGCTCCTTCCAGGGAAGGAGCCACATGCACCTAGGAGAAAACTGGCCCAGAATCTTCTGCAGGCAATTGCTGCCTAGCACCCTGCCCAGGCGCTTTGGGGAGAGAGCAATCACCAATGTAGAGGGAGCACAGCACCTCTGTCAGCTTTGAGAGTGACCCCAGGCACACTGTGGCCTTAGAGCTTCAGCCAGAGCTGAGCCTGGCCAGCAGGAAAGAGGAGGCCTGATCATCAGATGCAGAGATGTTCTAACAAGGGCCGGGTGCTGTTGAGGGCAGTTCGAATCTTAGCCCTGCCTCTCACGCACAACCCAAGCGAAGAACACTGCTTTCCATGCCTCACTGCAGAAAGGGAAAACAGTGGTACCTAACGCCTCAGGGCTGACACGCAGTAAAGGTTCAATAAACAACTCTACACAGTATTCCTGGGAGTGGGAACCCCACAAGGGAGTTTTATTCAGCCCCGTCCAGGCCTGACCAGCATTTGCTTTTCTGTGTCCCACGTTCCTGCTTATTGAATGGAGTAGGACGGGGCTGTCTCTTCCTGAGTCTGTCTGGCTCCATCAAGTCCACCCCTGCAGGGGCAGATGGATGTCTGTGGAACTGAAATGCACTTGGGTGGGGGAGGGACCCTTGGGAAGAATGAACTGGCCAGTGCATAAAGAATAAAATAAAGAATCTGCGGTTAGAGCTGTTTGGGGGTTGCAACCTTGGACCATGGGTTTAGGGTGCCCCAGGCAATGAAGTTCTGAAGGTGAAGAGGGATAGAATAGGGCTCTGGAGTAGGGAAAATCCCTTCCTCTCCAGGCCAGTCTAATCTGGTTTTCCAAATAGACAAGGGTTCAGGAAGGTCTTGGGCAGGGGTGAGGAATGTTCACAGGACCCAGGGGAGGGGGCAGAGGGGCTGCAGCTTGACAAGCCTTCCATTGTGTCTTGGCCAACTGAGGGCCCCACAGCGGCCACACTCTTGGGAGCTCCCAGAAGAACAAGGGAGGGCAGGGGTGGTGGGGAGGGAGGCCCCTCAGGGACAGAGTCTGAGAGAAGGGCAGGGGGAAGGGAAAGGGGCTACACAAGGGACAATGGAGCTGGAGGGGGCAGGGTGAGTCCAAGGAGATAAAGCTAGTTAGTGATCTGGGCTCCCCTGGAGGCCCCTACCCTACTCCATTCAATGAGCATGGATGTAGGAGACAGAAAAGCAAATGCTGGCCAGGCCTGGACAGGGTGAATAGAACTCCCTTATTGGTCTTACTGTCCCTTAAACGGACAACCTGAAACACTAAACCCTCTCTGTTTCTCTTGGATATGGCCCTGTCTGGCAGAGCCCCCTCAACCCTTCTCCAGCTCCTGACCAAAATTATACCAGCTTCCTGCTGAAAGCCTTCCAGTTCCCGGGCTTCTGGTATGTTCTGCCTCAGCTCCAGGAGGGCTAGGGGAGGGAGGGTGGGGTGGGGGGTAATCCTGGACAGAGTCCAGACCTGAGCTAGCAGCAGACTCCAAATGTGGGTTATGTGGCTTGGGATGGATGGGACACTGGGCAGAGTGGCTGGCCATGCAGGGTGGGGGAAGGGCTGTTTGGAGACTTCCTAGGTCCATATGCCAGGTCTGCTGCTGCCGGAAGTGTGTGAGTGGCCCCACCCTTGCATGCTGTGCTTCCCTCCTTACAAGTAAGGTTGGTGACGACAGGGTCCCTGTCATAGGAGCTTTCAGTGGAAGACTGGACTGAATGTTAGCTCCTGCCACAAGGGTGATGGTGGCACACACTCAGAGTGACCTTCAACAGCTGAAAGCCAGCCTGGGGCGTCACTGTGCCCTCCGTCCCTCTTCAGGGACAGCCAACCACTGAGCAGATGAAGGGGCCTCTGGTATCTGTAGCCATGCTGAAAGATCCTGCAACAGTGTGACAGGGTCTGGGCACTGCAGGGGCTCCCTGAGTTAAATAGCTTCTTCGTGCAGAACTTCTCAGAGCCTTTATTCCCCTTCAAGTGCACTCTAGACACCCAGAAATGGAGGCGCAGTACATATCAGTTCCTAGACTGCTTTGCTACAAATCCTTTAGGGCTGGGGGTCAGTGTTAAGGCCAACACCCCTTTATCGGTGTCTCCCTGTGCAGACCAAAAGACTCTTAAAACCTTGCCCTGTGACCAGCGCAAAGCCTGATGGGATGCAACTGAGAGTGATGGACAAGGGATGGAGGGTGACTCACAGGTGTTGTGTCTGAGCATCAGAGATGACAGCCCCACTGTGGTGAACATGGAGGTCATATCTCCTGGCAAGCTCAGCCCCAGATCATCTTTTCCCAGCTGCCACAACGAGAGGGGAGACAATGGGAGGTCCCACCAGCCTTCCGGTCCCCCCAGCCCTGTACCCTGCCTGCTCTTCTCCTCTTCTGCCCCCCCACATACACACCCCACCAGGCTGTCCTAAGTCTGGTCAACTCCCCATCTCCCTTCAAATGTGCAGACCTCTTTGGGTCTCTTGTGCCCATCTATGAAATGGGCTCAGTAAATCTCACCCTGATAACTTTGGGCTGTTGCGAAAAGTCAGATGAGCCAACGGTACAACAGGCACACAGTAAATGTCCATAGGGACCTCCTTACAGTCCTCAGGAGTCCCTCCTCTCAGGGCATCCAGAATTAGAGGGCAACGGTCAGCCCCAGGAAGATGCTCCAAAGGCACACACTTGAAACAGAGTGGAGGTGTCACCTGTGGGAGGGGCACATTCTTACCACCCACAAAGCCAACATCATGAAAACTTCCTAGCCCTCAAACTGAGAAAGCCTTGCAGACTCAGGTAGGAAACAAGTCCACACATCAGCTCAGCCAGCCATGGCAGGAGTGCAAGGGAGCAGCCAGGGAGGTGGGTTCAGCTCAGGCAGACCTCAATGGTTGCTGTGTGACAAAGGATATTCCTTCTTGTCTGGTCTGGAGCCTCTCCAGTGCTCAGAACAAAGGGATGTGACCAGGAATGAGTACCTTCTTTCCCCCTCTGGGCTCCATCCTGATATCACAACCTACAGGGAACCTGACCATAAAAATCCCAGGAGATCAGCTGGAAAAGTGACTCAAGTCAGCCCACACAGCCCAGGGCACTGGGTTTTCATCTTGTATCTCCAGAGCATGCAAATAGAGCAAGTCTTGTGGGCTGATGGAGGAACCCCAAAGGTGAGGGTAGCCTGGGACAGCGTACCCTCACGCCCCTGTTCTCTGAGTCAATTGAATGTTGAAAATCTGAAAGCTGCAATTTCTCATTGCTACATCCTCCCCACCACAGGGAACACATGCCCTGGGTCACTGCCACTGAACTCTGAAGCCTGACCATAAATAATTAAAATGAAATTACAGTTGTCAAAATAAATTAGCAGGGAACCAGGAGCCTTGCCATGCTGTGAGTTCTGCTCTTCTCTGAAATCTGACTGTGGGCACAGGGTCCCCTGAACACAAGGCAACTGAGTGTAATGAGTTCTCAACACAGGAAGAGCCAGGGACACCTTCAAGGGCTGTGCAGCACAAGAGGAGGACCAGGCTGCACCCTAAGGACTTGGGCAAGCAGTGTCTGTCTGCATGTACAAGCAAGAGCCGTGGCGAGTAGCCTCACATCACTCTAAAGCCCAAAGGCCCTTGGAGAAAGTTCTCAGGACTCAGGGTGCAGAACACCCTGCACCAAGACCTCAAACTACCTGAGAGAATCCATTCAGCTAGTTGGCTCATTACCGCTTGGAGAGGGAGAGCACCCTTGTAGACCAGCTCTAGGGTGTGCACTGTAAGCATGCTCAGATGCAGAATCAGGACTGGGGGGTAGTTGATGGCAGCAGCATCCCTGAGGGGATGTCAAAACTCTTTCCCACCAGAGAGGGCCAGCGAGGAAAACTCCAGCACAGAAGCTGGGGAAGGAGCTGAGGAGGCCAGCTGCTGAAGTAAAGCGAGTGAAGGCAGGAGTCAGTGCAAAGGTTTGATCCTGAGAGCCACGAGAAGCTCTGGACAGAGTGGAGGAGGGGAGAAAGGGAAGCAGCTTCTGGAGGCAGGCTGTGAGGTCAGACTCCCCAGAGCCCCTCAGCATACCAGACAACACTGTACAAATGGTACCACTGTTCTCGTGGGACCAGTTCATCTCAGTAAACATTAGCATTCATCGAGCACCTACTATGTGCCAAGCACTTTGTTGAGCATTGCCAACCATACTCCTCCTCTCGGTCAGTCATCATGCTGTAGGAGAGGATGCTGCCATTATCATTCACTGTACATACGAGGAAACAGGATTCAGAACCAAGGGCTCACTCCCTGGCCAGGGAGTCCCATCTATGGGTAGCCTAGGTGGCTCATCTAATTCCCGGCCAGTAGCAGAACCTGAGTCTATAATATCCACCCCCACATAAACACACACACGCGCGCGCGCGCGCGCACACACACACACACACAGACTCTTTCTGTAGACCAGATACCCGCATATACTGGAGAGCTCTTGGTGGGGGTGATGATGTCTAGAGTCTGTGATTTCTGAAACTAAATGCAAGTGTGGTTTTCTCTTTGTTCCTCTTGCTCTTATCCAGAGACAGCCCAATTCAGGCCCACAAGATGGGGTGTCTGAAAGGAGTCCCTGTTTCTCCCATCTCAAATGTCTTGCATTCATTCTGGGATGGAGCAATCAGAGTTGTGGATTAATGGACATAGCTCTTGTCTTTAAGTCCCACCCGCTGACAGCCTGCCTGATTCCCTCATCTCCCTGCTCCTCAACCTTTCAGAGGAAAAAAAAATGCAGGCAGCCTGCTTATCTTAGTGTGAGGTTGCCATGGAAACAGCATCCCTTGTGAGATGCTGTCATAACACTTCAGTGTGGTTTGGAACACTTAAAGACACAGCCTCCTCCCTGGCCTCAGCCATGGGGCAGCAGTCAAATGACTGGAGAGAGAGGCAGGGTAGGAGAGAAGAAGCAGGCAGACCCCGGCTTCAGCCAAGTCTGCCTTCATCATTTGAGGGTGTAGATTCACCAGCTGCCTGTGCACTGCTAAAGTCATTCCTAGTGTTCCTCACCAGCATCGCCATGAAGTTGGCTTGATGATGCCCATTGTACAGAAGAGGAAACAAAGGGTTGATGGATTAATTCATCATAGCAGATACTGCCAGTTACAGGTTCCTGATCCCCAGCTGGATATCTGAAGCCTAAAAGGTCTTTGGAGCAAGTCCACAGGCCTCAGGCCTCAAAGCACTCCACATTCAAGATCACAAACTACCTGGGAGTTATTCAGACTCCAAGAGACAAACACAGTTTCTCCAGGGGAGATCTCCAATGCAGGGAGATATAACTGCTCAAACAGTAGGTGGCGGCTCAGATAACTAAGAGTGGCCAGAATAAGTAGTAGTGTCAGCTGTGACCTCACTACTGGAAGTTTACTGCATGCCTAGTCTCACCGATGTAAGCAGACTGGGACTACTGCAGGAGACCACTTTCCAGATCTCCTGTTGTTTCATGTGACCTACTGTTTGGGTGAGTGGAGGTGGAGAGACTGTTATGGGTGGTCTCCTGGGCCAAAGGTGTGACCCTTTGGTGCCTTGTGCATTTCTGAGTGCCTCCCCACTGTCACTGTTCAGCCGGAGGACCCTTCATCCTTCAAGATCCCTTTTCATGATAAGGACTGCCATTGCTCTCTTCCTCCTCCCCTGCCTCTACCTGACCCCCACTCTCTGTTCCATAACCAGTCACTGTCCTCAACCCTAACGACTCAACCATCCCTCAGCCCACACCTATGCCAGAGACCATGATCAGGCTGCCTCCACTCAGATGTCAGTCTACAGAGAAGACAAATAGCCTTCACCATCACCTTCATCACAGTCCTTGGGGCTGAATACATGTGTATATTTCAATATATTTATACATAAATAAGATGAGCCAAGAATAGATATTTAATTACACACATGGATTTGTAAGTACATGATATTCCATGACATGGGGAAGTATTTGTTGTCTATGAATTCATTCACATTGAATCCACGATGAGTTGCTGGCATTTTGAGGAGAGTGGGTACTCCATGGAAGGGGTGTTCTGCTCTCTGCTATAACTCCAGGATTCAGCAAATGGTCAGCAACACACTGTAGGTACTCAATAGATGCTTTTAAGTGAATAAATCTAAGGCTAACCCCAGACTTCTTGCTGAGACACTTTGCTGTAAGAGTTGTGAACTACTGAAGTTGGCTGGGCTAAACCACTCACTATGTAGCCCAAACCCAGGGTGGTGATACTACCCCATGGATGGGGTTCTGGACTGAATTAGGAGAGAGCCAGGCTGAGCACCAGTATTCGCCTCACTGCTTCATGACTGTGGACGCAATGTGACCACATGCCTCGGGCTTCTTCTTTGACATGACAGACTACACCCTCAAACCATAAACCAGAGTAAACCTCCCTCCTTTACATTGCTCTTGCCAGGTCTTTTTTCCACAACAATGAGAAAAGTAACAAATACAACATTCATTTGTGCAACAAGACAGACACTGAGCTGTTTTTCAGCCTGGGAATTAGCACCTATCAGCCATTAGGTGCCAAAGTCTCCCTCCAGTTGCCAGTGGGTCCATTAGGGGTGAGAAGGGTGTGGCCCCAGGCAGGGAGGTGTACTTGGAAACCTCACAGTGTCCAGCTGGCTCGTCTCACTCTGCTTGGCTCAGTGCCAGGCTTAGACATCTGTCATCATCATCATCAAGGGAGTGTGTGCATGCTAAAACCGCTAACACCACACGCATGCACACTTGCCACACTCCACTCTTCTTGGGCCCTTAAACAGTTCAGCCACAAAATTACTGTTTCTGTGACCAACCAAGGACCCTGAGACCATGATACTTGAAGTCCCACAGTCAGGGACAGGGTGAAGACACATGTATGATGGCTTAGAAAACCCTGAGAGGCTAACTCCTCTTAGCATGAGCTGTGTCCCTTCCACCCCAGGTCCCCAAAGAAGCAGCCAAGGACCCTGGCACAGGATGAGGTTCTGAGGGGACTTCAGGGTCTTTGAGACCTTGCATGGTCCTAGAAGATAAGGTGTGGAGAGGACAGCGGGTGCTTGTCTCCAGAGCCTCAGAAGTACATCTTACACACGAATCATTGTTTTTTCCCTTTCCAGTGTCCCCTGCTGACAGACTATGAAAATAAATACATTTTCTGCTGCTTCCACAGATATTTTTCTTTTCATTCCCCAAATACCATAATTCCTGGCATTTGGTATGCACCACACCCCTGAATGACTTCCAGATCAGCATCACCAATAGTGATGCCTCCTCGAGAGCACATCTCCCCTGCATGATAAAACGGCCACACTCAAGGGCAGCCAGCCTTCTATATATCACAGGCTGGCTTCAATCTCTCAAGCTTCCTCAAGGTTTATCTTCTATGACTTACCAAAGGAAAGCCTTACAGATCTGAGCTTGGGTGGTTGGCTAGTCCCCCCCCCCCATGATGAGTATCTGTTGGGAACTGAGAAGCTAAAAGCCTCTGGTGAGCCAGGCTCTGCTTGTGGAAGCACCAGAACCAGGCAAAGGACCGCTGATGAAGCCTTACACACGAATGAAAAGTAAGGGCTGACCAGAGGGTTTCCTGCTCAGGCTGCAGGGTTTCCCACACATTTCACACGTTTCAGAGAGGTCAAACCAGACACATGCACAGAGTCTTTTGTCACTTGGTCCTTTTATCCACAGCAGGGCAGGGATGAGTGTAACACTACCCCAGGTTTGTGACCTCTTGACTCCTATCCAGGGTTTCCAAGAATGGCAGAAACAAAGCCACTAGCTTTGTGCCAGCAGAGCCTGGAAACATGTCCCTGTGCAGGATGACCCTCCTCCAAGTTGCCTGTCCATTACTATACTGACTAGCCATGCATGGCTATTTGCATTCATTGAGAATTAATGCTAATGTGCCAGATCCTCTGTCTTTCTGGATAGAAGTATTGTGTGCCGGTTAAGTGGCTCCAGGTTGGAAAACACACATCTGGAGCATTCCATTGTCACAGAAAGTCCCAAGGGACAGTACTTAGAGAGGGCTGCAGAGATGACCCTGCTGATAATCACAGTGGCCTGGGAGTGAGAGTCCCTGGGGCAAACGCTGTTCCCTGAGGCCCCCATCTCTGAAGTTTCAATCTGCCAACTGTTTACTGAGCTCTGGCCTCTGAACCCTCATGTGACTCTTGAAAGAAAAAGGACAGTTTACCCAGGCAGCTCCTATTTCCAGGCTCTAAATTTTTGACCTCTTCATCAAAAATAGTGGGGAGTTTATGGCCCACTAAGTCCTGTGCCAGCCTCCCACAGGCTCACAGAAAGTGACCGAGTGTGTGGCTCAGTGATAAAGGGCTTGTCTATCATGTGCAAAGTCCTGGGTTTGAGCCCCAGAAATTGAATAAACTGGGCATG